CGGCTGAGGTGGGGAAGCTCTCGGAGGAACCCGGCAAGAGGGTGGGGCCGGGCCTTGTACCGGGCTGGTGATGTGGGATTATAGGGGAAACGGGAGATGGGGAACCATGAGGAGGTAGTCATAGAGTGGGCTGGGTAGGAGAGGGGGGATCTGTGTTGGAGTGTGTTTCAGGGGCCTAGTAGGTGGGCGGGGCAGGGGTTCCTTTCTGTAGATCAGCTACCGGACCTAGCAGATCACATGGAGTGTCCAGCACATGAGGTAGGTTGGGAGGCTGCTTTCCCCAGGGACCACCCATCAGACATGGTGGAGGGAGACTGCTTTGTACAGCTCTGTTGGAAGGGAGGAGGCCGAGGCGGATCTGAGTATCAATGATGAAGCTTCTCTGACTGCTGCATAAGGCTGAGTGCGCTGTGCGGATACCAACCTTGGAGAGCTGAGGACTCAGAACCGTGCCCTGCCATGGCCAGGTGGGCTCCGTGCCATGCTCTGATCACATTCCTCTTCATCCAGGTATCTCCAGGGACAACTGGCATAAGCGTCGCAAGACTGGGGGCAAGAGGAAGCCCTACCACAAGAAAAGGAAGTATGAGTTGGGGCGACCTCCTGCCAACACGAAGGTGGGTGATGTGTGGGGAAGGTGGAGGGTGGTAGTTTTGTTTTCCTGCTTGAGTGGCTGGCTGTGGGCTTTTAAGAGACTTAAAGACATGCTGTGTTTTGTGATTTGTTACATACCTGTCACTGCTTCTTTAAAAGGTGGTGTCTTCCCTGATGCCTGTGGAAAGCAGTGTTACATTTTTGCACTAAGAGGCAATTGGAGTGATGAAACTTTCACCTTAGGTAGATACAACAGGCTGTTTTGGTCAGTTATTGTATCTGCCGATGCTGGGGTTTGTCATAGTTACACTGACCACGTTGCCTTTGGGGTTGGGAGTTGGCAGGGCTCCTGCGGGAGCTGCGCAGTGTTCCAGCTCCAGCAACATCCCAGGGTTTGTTTCTGCCCCTAGATTGGCCCACGCCGAATTCATACAGTGAGAGTTCGTGGAGGAAACAAGAAGTACCGTGCCCTTCGGTTGGATGTTGGGAACTTCTCTTGGGGATCTGAATGTAAGTACATCAGGAGCCTGATGTGTTGGACGGGAAGGGTCTTCTACAGCAGTGCTGGACCCTGGAACTGCTGCGGGGTAGAGGGACAGATGGATTTATAGGCTGGGTTTTAACATCATGGAGCTTGCAGTACTGGGTCTGAAGCAGCATGCATGGTGATGATAACTTTGACATTATGTGGCCTTAGCAGACATCCAAGTCTCCTAAGTTCACAGTGATTGGAGTGTCATAGTTACACTGAGTGACATGCTTGTGTTACC